GCCGTCTGGCAGCAGGCGGACGTTGTTGAAGGAGACAGAAACCCTGTGACTCCTGCTGTACTCCTACAGATGTTTTATATTTAGCTTGTTGTACAGTGAGCTGTGGTTTCAGGTGAACCAGGTAATGAAGCTCTCCATCAGCTTCACTGCAGTCAGATGTGGGAGCCAAAAGGTCTCAGTTCTTGTCGTGGCTCTAAGATGTGGATGTTGAGACGATTCTATCACAGGAGAAGCTTTATTTTACCAAGAGGCAGTTCCTTGAAGGCCTTTTCTTTTTCTTTCTTCCATGTTGTGGTTGATGCTGTGCTTCGCTCTCTCAAGGAAAAGAGATTTGACACAATGTGAAGGAGAACTTTGCCGTTCGTTTTAAGTTTGGCAAACACGCACAAATGTCAGGAGACACTTTGAAGAGTCACCGTAAAGGGTTGGAGGGAATCTGCTGAGTCCACTGAAGGCTCTGACATCTTTGGTGTGAAGGTGACTGAGGACATCTGAAACCTTCCAGCTGTTCACCTCAGATCACAGCAACCTCCTGTAGCAGCCTCTGACTGTCTCCTAAAGCTGTCTGCTGTCTCAATGACTTTAACACCGACGGTCGTGCCTCGGCGGGTTTGTGATGCAATGATTCGTTTAATCATATATTTAAGGAAAAACATACTGAGACACTTCTTCAGAGAGGTGCTCCTACAGAAAACAAGCGTGAGAGTGATAAATCTAAAATTAATACAGTTTTGTACAATAATGTGGACGTCAAACTAAAAAGTAAATACAGCCTCTGTAACAAGTCTGTGGTCAAGAGTCACCATGAGGAACGTCAGCTGAACTTCAGACCTTCAACAATGGGCTCCTCTACGAAACAACTTCAACATCTGAAAAGGATGTGAACATTGAAAAGAAAAGATCTTCTGACTACACAGGAGCTGCAGGGGGTTTGTCTGATGGTGGAAACTTCTCACCAAGCAGCAAAAAGGCTCCACGCAAAGTCATGAGAAGGAAACTTCACGTGAACATCTGGACGAGCCTTGTTTTGAGCAGACACAGTTAAAGGTAAACCTGCTGGCCTCAACCACACAAAGTACATCTGAAGAAAAAACCACTTGTTCAGCATGAAGGAGGAATTCTGCTGCTTTGGGTTTCATGCAGCAGGAAGTCAGAGCAGAAACCTACAACTGCTCAGACCATCGCTGGAGGTCATTCCCCACAGGAGCCGCCATTAAGATGCTGGACTTTACAGCAGAAATAAACATGTTTACAGAGTGAGTCCCTCTATTGCTAATTTCAATATATGCTAATTAACAAGTATATGGGGCTTGATTGTTTTTTGTTTTCTCAACAATCTGCTTCAAGTTAAAATCCTTTAGTTTGGTTTTAAACCTGATGAACACATGTTTACTTTGAAACCACAGTATGCTCAGAACAGTCTTTAAAACATGGATTCAACTTATTTATCTATTTATTTATTTTTCAAGAAGTTCAAGATAGTTTAAGAAACAAAAGCAAATATTACATTAACATTGCAAATATGAGTTAGACAACCAGCTGCCTTTTGCTTGTTTGGGACATTTTGATCCTTTTACGAGATTTTATAAACATATTAAGAAACTTTTAAACCTGGAGTAAAAAGGTAGAGAGGTGAAGACTGAGTCGACCCAAAGCAGCCAGTTGGTCATTTATCCAGCACTTCTTCTCTCTTTATGTCTGTGAGGCTGCTCGTTGTACAAACAGCTTCTTGATCCTAATGAAGCTCTGCTGAGATGCACAGCAGCTTTATAAGACAAATCATTTCACCTTTCAAACTGCACAGCTTTTGAAGAGCAGATCAGATGTTAAGCTGCCCATTTATACTTTTAATGATCGCTATGTGCCAGAGTTTGCTGATGTAAAGGAGATTCAAGGAAAAAGGAAACAGACATTGTGCTCATAAAGCTCTCTGTCATGCGGCACACTGAAGCCATGAGTGTGACCTCCACAGCATCAGCATCAGCATCAGCATCAGCAGCAGATGCTTTTCCTCCACGTAGCATTTATGGCTTCTCTGTGGTGGAACTCTGAATGACAGCAAACAAAACGGAAAAAGAAATAGAACGAGACCTTGAGCCTGCTGCAGCTGAAAAAGGTAAAAGGAATGAAGGAGAACGGAAGTCTAAAGGACTTCAAATGCAAAGTACACGCAATGAAGTTTTTCTTTTGTTTTGTTTAATTTTACAAGAGTTTGTGTTTCTGTACAGATTGCTGTGCTTTCTTTGTTTTAACAGATAATTAGTAAAATCACTGAATAAACAGGCCAGTAATTAATAAACAGTAATAATGTCCACTCTTTAAAAATAATCTGTATTTTTATAAATGGTAAAAATAACATTTTGTTGTTTGCCACTATTTAATTATTTAAAAAAAAAAAGTAAATCTGCATGTTAAGGATTTAAAAAGCAACAGCACAAAATAACAGTTCAGTGTTTTATACATTTTTCCTGTTTTGTTAAATTACAGATAATATTGTGAAATCAGAAAAAGTATTCGTTTACACGTCATTATAAACTAATTAAAATAAAATAAGTATCCACTCATAAGAATCTGAATTTTTACGATGGACATTTTATTCTTTCTTTCACAAATATGACTGTAGAATTAATGTTTGGGGGTTTTGGGGGGTATTTAAATCTGCTTAAAACATCATTATTTTACAGATATAACCCTTTGTAGGGTTTGAATGTGACAATATTCACGCATGTTGTAACAAAACTTTCTGGCAGATTTCTGCATGAAGACGACTCTGTGCTTTATGTGATGAGACTGAAGGAAAGAAGACGGCCTACAGAGTCCTCCTGTTGCATCCTGGGTAATATCTGCTCAGTGTGACGGCCAGTTCACCTTTTTTGTGGTGTATGAGAAACTAAACGTTTTCTTGATGGTAGATGGCAAAAGAAACAGACGATTTGTATCTCAGTGACACATTTCCTGTTTCCATTAGCCGAAGCCTTACGATGGAAACAGAGACAAAAGGCAACGTGCTGCAGAGGACGTTGTTCCAGAGACGGAGAAAACAGGAGCAGCAACTCTCACACTTTAACTTAGAAATGCATTCGTTCCTCATCCTGACTTCACACCAGACGTCAGGAAAATGGCATTTTGAGTCACACCTACGTATTCAAACATGTCGATAGTGGAACTGTGAAGCGCTGCACATTTGTATGGTTTGAGTGGCTGCCAATGACTTTGACTTGACGGAGGGATCTCATGCTGACACGTCTGTCAGATTCAGTGTGGAACGATATTCGTAGGAATAAATGCGTTATTCAAAATGCAAAACACTTGAGTTCCACCTCCGTCCATTCCACTGTGATGATCTTGTTATAAGAGGGCGATTTGCTGTGTGAAAGCAGCAGCTATCATCGTCCTGTGTGCAAAGTGACATCTGTATTTGGGAAAACACCAAATATTCTGTATTTAATATATATATCTGTATTTATTTTTTGAATGCTTTAAATTAGTTTTAAAGCTTTACTTAAACAACTTTAAAACCAATGATAAGTAAATAAAACTGATCATCTCATTATGAAGCAGTTTTCTGCAGCGAGGCCACGAGGTCGTCCTCAGATGTGTTCATACCCTCTCATTAAAGAAGGAAAACAGCTTCTGTCACTGAAATAAGTTGAGATTGACAAAAGTAATAGTAAATAATAAAATAATGATAGACTGGCTACCTGTCCAGGTGAGCCTGCCTTCACCCTGAGTCAGCTGGGATAGACTCCGCCCCCCGTGACCCTGGTGAGGGTTAAGGTGTAGAGATGATGGATGGATGGATGGGTATTTGAGCGACTATCGTGAACTTTGTCTTTTCTTTAAGATTGGATAATATGTTTTTGTTTTAATATTAATAGCATCGTTATTTTTATTGGTAAGGACATGGCTCTAATGCAACCAGCTGTTACTTGTCATTAGCAACAGCCAATGAGAACCAGAAAAGCTGCTGACGGTTTAATAAGCACCGTAGTTTAGTTACACAGGAAAAAACCCAATAATAATAATAATAATAAAGTGATGTCGCTAAAACGTATTCTGCTGACGATGCTGTGCTACAGATATTGCTAAAACGCTAGCTGTGCATTTAAAACTATGTCAACACTGTAACATCGTTCTAAAGTCTGATTAGCTTGAACTGACTGACTGTCTCTCCACAAGACCAACAACAGATTACCCTGAAACAGAGACACAAACCTGAGTGGGCAATAAAACTGATAGAAAAATAATAGTTAAGAAAAGATTAACAAAACAGTGAAGAACAGCAGATGTAAGTGCAGGAGACAAACTGTAACTGATCTGAGTCGATGGATCTCACAGCAAACAGGAGCAGAGTCACAAAACACACCTCAACATGATGCACATCCCCACGTTGGAACACTGCTCCCACACTACAAAGACTGCTCAGGAACAGCTTGAGGAACACAACCAAGAGCCCACAGCATCTCTAAACTCCCAACATTCAAATCTCATCAACCCCAAGAATCCAAATAGCCCGACTCCAGACACCGAGAGGCCCAGTGTCCGGCAGGTCCAAGCTGCTTTGGCTGCACAAGAGGAACCGACACAATGCGTGGCAGGTGGTTGTAATGTTGTGCTAGAACAGCTGCATGTAGGGAGAAGAAGTGCCTCACTGCACAATCCTCTACAAAACTGGACATTTTCAGTGTGGTAGGTTGATGCTCGGACGTTTGTTGTAGTGAAGAAAACACGCAGGTCAATAAGAAGACAAAGCTGCCTGATCTCAGCTGCCCACTCTTTTGCATCCTACATCCAGTGCAGCGATATCCCAGCGTGATCATTGAACTGGTTCAAATGACCAAACCTCGTTAAGCACAACTGTAGCACTGTGACAACAAGGCACCATAGAAACATCATGGTTGCACTTTAAGTGACACAAGTCTGATATTTGGCTGTTTTCTGAACCTGCAAATATTAAATAAAAAACCTTCTTCTGTGTCATGGTGTCTCTTTGAACTCACTCTGTGTCGGTGATGACGTAGCCGAAGACGTCATCGTCGGCCTTCTTCCTGCCGGCTTTCACGTCCAGCTGGAGCTCGGGGACGTGCATCGTGTTCTTGTGCGGCTCATCGTACACGAGCGAAGCCGGAGGGGGCGGAACCTCCTTGATCCAGCCCTCCACCTCAGACACCTCCTCCACGGACTGGGTGGCGTCCTTCTTCTGCACCGTCACTCCGGCCTCGCTGGTCCGACTCTGGACATTCTCCAGGCCGACCGGCTGGCCTCTGGGCGTCTCCATGGCGACATCGTAGCGGTTTCTGGCTGGTGGAGGGCCAGTGAAGGGAGTTTTGTCGAGGTAGGCGAGGAGTTTGGTCAAGAGGCTCCCGCTCTCGGCCTGGAAAAAAGAGGGAGTCACCAAAACTCTCAAAGAGGAGGATTTTCTTTTAAATGCAAGAAGCTCAAACAAAAAATAAAAGGAAAAAAGTCTGACTGCTGAGGTTGATTTAAAGACGTTAAAGTGTCTCTTCACAGATGTTTTTATTTATTCATTGTTTATATTGACATCTTTTCATTGCACCCTTTTTATTTAGTTACATTATAACACTGAGTCTGACAATTTCACAGAATTTTATACATAAACTCAAAGTACCTGAAACAAAACCATATATCTATATATATATATATATGTGTGTGTGTGTGTGTTTTGTTTTTATTTTTTTTTCATGGGTTGAGTTCACTTTCTTTCTTTCTTCTCATTTTCTCATTTTTAATGTTTTCCTTGATTTTCTTTGTTTAGGAATTTATTGCATATTTTGTACCGGTTCTCTTGGTTTGTTTTTTTGTTTTTTAACTCAAAATGAGGCCAAAATCTGCTGGAAAAACAAACCAAATCTGAGCATAAAGGTTTCATTGAAATCACCTTATTCTGCAGGTATCTGTCTAAACACTGGCTGCAGTTCAACCGGTAACTCCAGTTCAACCAGTAACTCCAGTTCAACCAGTAACTCCAGTTCAACCAGTAACTCCAGTTCAACCAGTAACTCCAGTTCAACCGGTAACTCCAGGAACTTTGTCTTGTGACTGTAAACGCTTACGCAATATATTTATTTTGTTTACAGAATCTGGTCACTGCAAATTGTTTATTTTGGTGATTTGTTTTAATCAGACATAGCATTAAGTGATTTTATCAAAAACTACCAATAAATCGACGTCACACTGGATTAGTTTGAACACTGTTTGAAAGTTGGAAATTCCACGATTCTTCCCATTTCTACAGTTTCTGGCTCCGATATATGGTGATATGGTGTAACTGTGGCCACATTCCTTTTAAAGCTCCCAGTGGGTTCTGGGGTTTCTAGAGAAATTCTGTTTTAAATGGTCAGCTGACAACATTTCCAGGTAAGGCCTCAATTTTATTAAAAAAAGGAGAAAATAATGATCATAATATGTGATTAAATCTGGCAACTGTCTTAACAGCAAATAAAGTTTTAAAAATAAATAAATAGATTACTTGTACAAAAGTCCCAAAACTAGACGTGATTTTCTTCCTTTAAAACCTTTTTAGTTTAAATTCTCTGGACATTTGCTTCACCTTCATCAAGTGGCTGATGTCAAACATACTTTAAAGCTCTTTAGAAAGCTGCAGGCAGGAAGGTTCACGTCCTTCCTCATGCTGAATATTACATAATTGCTGATAATGTCAACCCTCGCTCTGACATTTAAGTTCTCTCTTTTCTACCACCAGACTGAATGCTTACCTTGTCCTCCACATTCTGCTCTTCTGTGTCCGAGTGGCGCTCTGTGGGGGAAACACAGGAAATGCATTCACACAGGCTTCTGTTGGCTTTTTACGTTGACCAGAGAGAATTAATTGAATGAGAGAAAAAGAAGTGTTTGCGTTAATGAAACAGCGCTGATGTAAAAACCCGCCACACCTAAAAGATGATTTTATGAATTTCAAGGGTGGTTTTTTTTTCATTCTTTGATATTAGATTTGAATTTGTGACTGTGGAAAAAAAAATGTTCACAGATGCTAAAAAAAACACTAGAAAATGCTTGTGTACAATATTAGCTGGTTCGTAAAGAAGCCGAGCCATAACGCTGTAATTCATTTGTTGCAGCTCTTCTAAGTTATCTGTTTATCTGTTGGGCTCTTTTACTCATTGTGTAAACATGTTTAGTCTGAGTGGCCTCAGCGGACAGAGAACCACGAACGCCGGCTGTGTTTATGCTCTGCACTGAGCACAAGGCGCTTATTTATTTCCACATTGATTTTTATGTTGCACTTACAGCCAGTAGAGAGCTTCTCTTTTGTTTCTATCCAGCCTACACGGTTATGTATGTGCTATAGACTCGCTTTCCAGCGTTTGCTCGATACTTTAATTATGTAAAAACACAAAATGAATCACTATAAAATTACCTTGAAGTGCTGCCAGTGCCTCAGCGGTGCTCTCCAGCGACTTCAGAGTGGGAGCGCTCGCCAGCTTCTCCTCTTCCTCCCCCTCCTCTTCCTCGTCTTCTTCCCCCGGTTCTCCCTCCAGGTCTCTTGGTCCGGGTCCCCGAGCCCGAGTCCGGCCCTGGTCCTGGTCCACCACCTGCAGGGCGTCCGCTATCAGGCTGGACAGCTGGTCCAAGTCCTGCGGCGTCAGGTTGTCCACGTCCACGTGCTGCCTGCCGACGTTCTTCAGCACGTTCTCGATGAACCTCTCTGGAGGTGAAACAAGCAGATCAGACAGCTGAACCAAAACCTGATCAAGATGTGGCTAAAACACCCTGAAAGTTCACAGCTCAGGAACTTCACCACAGGTTCAATCTGTTTGTGCATTTATGAAGCTTTGAATGTTTGTGTGTGACTGATGAAGATATCTGTGCAGGTGGAGACGCTTTAACTGTTTTCTGATGACATCCATCTTGCTGACAGCACGTACCGTCCACAGATGTGAGCGGGTCCTTGACTGAAGCCCCCTGAGTTCTTCCCATCTTCAGAAGCCTGGATTTTGAGGTCTCTTTTTTGAGCCCAGAATTTTCTATTCCGTTGCCGTAGAAGGGCCTGAGGCGCAAAGAGAGGGTCTCCTCCTGGGCGGGACTCGGCCCACCGCTGTGCAGGGACAGATGCCCGGAGAGATGCTGCCTCAGGGCGCTGAGGAGAAGGTCACCCTCCGCCCGCATGGCGAGGAGCTGGTCGGCTGGAGGTCTCTGCTTCTGCAGAGGCTGGAGGGATGAAACAGAAGAGAAGCCGGAGGGAGGCGACTTCTGAGCCAAAGTCTTGGCCTTGGAGCGATAGAAATCTGAAAGGATGCCGGACTGGAAACGGTCACTCTGCACGACACAAACAGAAATATTCACATAGATGTTATTTATGAGAAAATAGTGGAGCTATTCTGGACCTACACTGTAAAAAAAGTAAGGGTGTTAGAAAGAAATATATTAAAAGACAGTGAAAATAACAGCAAATATCTGTGCTACAAGTATAATAATAATAATGATTCTCATAGAGGTATTATATCACCAGATAAGGTTAAGCCGATGATTCTGAACATTATGTTGGATTTAAGATGATTTTAGTGGTTTCCAGTAAAGTTCAAGAGCAAATGAGGACAGTGTCCCTAAAACAGCTCACGTGTGGTCACATGAGGCCACAGTCTGCAGGATGCTGGCAGGATGAACTCATTGCTAAAGCAGGTGATGGTTCCTCTGTTTACCAGCATGTATCCTGTGACTACCAGACTGTGCTCTGTGCTATTACCAAATACATGAATCAGATGCTAAAGGTACCACATATGTGGGCTAAACAGGAAGTGCCTCACAAAACGTGTGTGTAATCAAGTGTATGTGCTGAAGATAAAAACTGTGTGTAGCAGCAAACGTGTGGCGGAGGAGAGTCGAATACACGATAAAGAGGCCCGACAAAGAGACTTCAGACAGAGTTGGTGGAGATTGCTCCTGGAGGCTGCTCATGATGGAGATGGCGGAGTTCTCCACAGGACATGGTTGGAGCTGAACACTCCTCCACCGACTGAAGAAGTCCTGATGGGTCTGCAGATTCTACTCAAGAGGAGCAGCAGAACCCTGTTCTGTGTTCTGCATGAAGAAGTGTTCTCTTCCTTCCCCAAATGGATGCAAAAGAACTGCAGATCTGATCGGAGTCGGGACTTCTCATCTCCCCCTGAGACAGGAGGGTTTTGTCCGGGGATCAGGACTCTGGACTGGGTTGCTGCATCACTGGAAGAGGACTCCTCCAGGCTCAGGTCTGAGCAGGGCTGAGTTAATCAGCTATGGTCAGGCTGTCCGACTCTCCTTCTCCCCAAATTACTTATTAGGCTACTATTTTAGAAAAGCTCAGTTCTATAATTTTATCTCAAATCAATTGATTGAATCATATTTTGGAATATTTTGAGTGAATAATCGAGAGCTGGAGCTGTGCCCCTGCTAAAGTTTTGTAATAAATATCTGATCCTGCATTTAATGTTTATTTGGTTTGAAAATTCATTAAGTCATTTACAAGTATAAGTGATGTTAGCGGAAAGCTAGTCAGCTGTGTGCGTAAGATCTTTATAGTGGTTCTTAAAGGTTATTCTAAGTCAAAAGAGAAATAGTATTTTTAATATTATATTATTAATATTATTTCTAAATCTGACCCAGCGACTGACCAAGTGCTGATCCGTTAGAGGAGAGCTGCCACTAACAGGGTTCGGGTTTAGGGTTAGGGTGTCTGGTAGAGTAATCTGATTACTGAGGCCACTTAGTTCAGTCGACTATTAGAGGAAGCAAGGCAGACGTCTGGATTAAGGCAGTCAGAAGCTGGGCGAGGTTCCTCCACACCAGCTTAAGAAGTTCTACAGAATCCTATTAGGTCACGGGCCTGTAGGCAGTTAGAACCTAGTCTAGAAACAGAGAGCTGGACCAGTAGCCCTGTACGGGGGTATATAGGCGCGGATCAATAGCACCCAACGCCTGTAGAAAAATAAAAAAAGATTTTTTGCTGCTTTAAATACAGTAATTTTAGTCAATCACATAAGTACAAGTTAAGATTTAAATAAAGCTGACATTTAAGCTAAGTTAAGATATTTGTTAATTTAGGGTCAAATTTAAAAAACGTTTCCAGTTAAGTTAAATTTAGATTTAAGTTCAGTGACGTACGTTGTACAGTTGTGTGATTATGACTTCCTGATTCAGGTATTTTCTTTATACATTTGATATATTTAAATGAAGCAGATGAACCAAATGAGGAAATGCTAATTATTAATTCTTAGAACATATTATTACACGGGGTTACAAAAAATATGTTTTTGAAGGCGTCGAGGATTTTTTAACTGATTTAGGACATTTTTTCAACGCTGCATCCAAACATGACGTCTGCTTTTCTGTCAGGTCACGTTTTTATTCCAACTCAGTTAAAAAAAAATAAAGATTTTGCCACTAAATCGATCACATTTTTTGACATCCACGATCGATTTATTTTAGTGTTTCTCATATGAAATCGGATTTCAAAGGGAAAATGTCATGCTCCATGCAGCTCTTGCACACCATGTGAGGCGCCCATGTTTTATCCTGATCACCAAGCTTCAGGCCAAAATAAGCATGAAAAGTGCATTTTACCACGTTGGTGACCAGGTATGTGTTTGGAACAAGACTGTATTTACCACAGATGTAGCAGAAGAAATCCAGATTATTTCTATCAGCCCTTCTGGCTGAAGCCGTTTGTTTTCAATATAAGTATTGAGGCAAAGAACACTAAATATGCAACAATATTGAAGCAGAGAAAACCATCATAAACTACAACTAAAACAAGCAGGGGTCCTCGGACCCTAGTTATGATCACAGCATCCGGTGGTGTTCACTCAGATGTTCACCTTGATAAAATCACGTGACTCTAAAGTGTTGTTCATAAACCAGGAGGTAAACTTTCTATCTAAATTTTATTTACCTGCAAATATTTACAGTATCAGCTTGTAAAGGTTTCAGAGGTTTTTCATTTCAGGAAATGGATTTTGTACGATACAGAGCATAGATACCTGCACGTACACTAAAATGTAGTGCATGTGGTGACAAATCAAAATTTGGACCTCATTGAGCAAAACCAGTTTAATATTTGGCTTCAGCACATTGCAGCTGTCCACAATCAGCTGGGTGTAGACCAGTGATGTTATTCTCATTAGTCTCATTAGACTGTCAGCAGACTGTCCATGTACTAACCACGTGTGCTGAAAATGGTGAATTTCTGTATCACAATCATTTTATTCCAGATGTCTCATTTAAAACTGGCAAATATACATAATGAGCAGATTTAGTGAGATTCTAGAAATCCAGAGACTTTTAGGCTGAACTGTAGGCAGTGGTCAGCAAATAGGAGACAACTGTTCAGATGATCAAAATGTAAATAGTAATAAATCTATATAATAGTAGAATATAATAATAGTATAATAGCATGTAGAGGCAGTAACTGGTCACCGCTGTGGGCTTTGTTTTGTTTTTTTTGGTAATTTTTTATTATTTTATAATTTGTCGTTTTAAATGAGTCACACTGTTAGAAGTTCTCTCTCCTTCTAGCTGGTTGGTGGTTTTTCCACAGAGGACTTTGCATTGAGGTAAAAAATGGGCCCACAGTGAATAAAACCCCAACAGGAGAAGCTTTTCCGTCACTCCCACATCAGGACTCCTCTGTTCCAGCTACAGTCAGAGCTGCTGCCTTTTACTTTAGTTTGGGTTTGAAGTTTAGTTGCTTTCTGTCAGAATTTACTTAACAAATTTGATTTAATTTCTTTAACAGATTTACCCACAGACCCTGTTTATTTTATGTTATTTATATTGTTTAGTTATTTATGACATAGTCAGTAATATAATAAACAAGGAGGCTGTTTGTTGTGTTTTGTTGTGATTGGAGTTGCAGGTAAAAGTTACAACAAACGTGTCGCTGAATCCCAGATTCCTCCAGTTCTATATGCACCAGAACAAACATTTAAGTGGATTTGGAGAAAACAATCTGCCAAATGAATTTTAAAAGCAGTGTTTAAGCATTATTTAAACGTAATTCTGTGTTGCTGAGGCATCCTGGAACCATGAACCGCTCCCCACCTCCCTAATGATGGCACAAGTTGCCCCCAAACAATACAACAAAAAAGCAGGTGTCATGCAGAATTGGGCTTCATGCAGCTGCTGGAATCCAGACAAATGTCCCACCTGCTCTGCATCCATTTAAAACTGAAACAATGGCCTAAAATAATGAGCAGAGACGTGTGTGTGCAGGCCAGGAGTGACTGTACGAGCATGTGGCCTGAATGCAAATGATCAAAATGCAAAAGCAACCTGCCTTTGCTCTTCTTCTTTCCTGCACTACATCTATTTTGTCTTTACCAAATGAGATTTTAATCACCCAGTATACTATAGAAAGACTTTTATTACACACTGTTTAAAATGAAGCTAAACAAAAGAATCAAAGACGGCTTTACACAAAACAGCTGAAATCCACAGAGACAACATCAAAGCAGCTGTATTATGAGTTTAAAACTAGAATTTGGTTCTTCCTCTGAACTCAACCAGAGCATCTGGATGCAAGAATCAACACTTTGCCTTCATATAAAAGACTTCATATGAACAAAAAGATCAGTGACGTGGTAAAAAGAGAGGGAAAAAACCAAGTTATTAATCCATTTATGCAATCATATTAACGGATCCATCAGCTCCAACAAAAGCAGATTGTCACTGCCGGCTCCATTAACGCCCACCTAAGTGCACAGAAATGGCACAAGCCTGAGTAACGGTAAAATTATCATGACAATACCGGCATAAGCGGCTCCTCGTCATACTTCTTTATGATTTGTATGTGCGAGGCCCCTTCTGGTATTTGTCCCTGCCGGTATCTTTGTTCGTCACTCGGTCGATGCGGTTTCCACCACTCCAGCCCTGCAGGGCCCCTTCAGTGCCTCCTGCTCCTGCTGCCCCCCGTTTCCACCAAACAGGTGAACCTGCAGAGAAAAGGCCACGAGCCTCCGAGCGACGCCTGCAGGCTCCACGCGATCGTACTCGCCGGGTCGTCACTTTAATCCCCCCGCCCCTCCAGCAGGAAGGAGGCCTCGGCGGGCTCGACGGAGGGACGCAGTCACGTCGTGAGTTATTAATTAGAGCGCTGAACTGCTGAACTCGCGGCTGGTATTATTTCACTCCCAACAGTCAAGCTGGGCGAAGCCATCAGTTAGGAAGGAGAAGCGAGAGCGCAGTGACAGCGAAGGATGACACTGTGTGTGTGTGTGTGTGTGTGTGTGTGTGTGTGTGTGTGTGTGTGTGTGTGTGTGTGTGTGTGTCTTTCTTTTTGTGTGTTTTTTTAAACCGGGGCAGGTGGCTGTGAGCCGAGGTTGGGGCTGCACGCAGACGTTGGGAGTAAAAACAAATGCACCACCTGCTCCTCCTTTTGAAATGTGACACAGGGAGCAACAGGAGTTTATGGAAGATATTCAGTCATTTGGGTTACATGGCTTTAAAGTTAGGGTTAGGGTTAGCAGCAGGAAAACATGCTAGCCATAATTAAACATTATTATTGTGTATCATGGCAGCAGCCTACAAAGAATACTGCACAGTTTACTGTAAATAAAATAAGTCGTTTTGTTAATAAAATAAGATTGGAATGTTTATTTTTTGCAAATCCACTGAACTAATCACCTGAAAACGTAAGGTCCTTTAGTGGAATCAAAACTCTTGTCCAACTACAGGTGTGCAGTATGATTTACATTTTTTTTAAAAAGTGGAGATAAAGTTCAATTATGTTGTCAAAAGCCCACGAGCTGCTGGTTTGGCTTTGGTTTTTGGTTCAACATATAGAAGAGAACAAAAAATGTGAAGTCTGGTGTTTAATTTTAGTGGACATTCAGGCTATAGACCCAAAACTGGACTGTCGGCTGGTGAGATATATAATTTGCTAAATACTTTTACAAACAAAACAAAAATATTTACGAGTGGTGATGGCAGAAAAAACATACAATTCTACTTATTGTTTGACAAACGTGCACAATGATGAAGCTTTCAGAAAAGGAGCCGCTTGACAATGATAAGTGAAAAAGTGACAAGAGTCGGTTCCCATAAATGCACATCAGGAATATGAGAAAAATGAGGAATATGGTTAAAACTTACTAGAAAAAGTAGAATTATGGTCGTATTGGACATTTAAAAAAAATAAACAATGGGTTAACTATGAACTTAAAAATGTATGAAAATGTATCACAATAAAATGCTTCACTTCAGTCCATATTGCTAATTATTTAATTTGATGATCGTTGATTTTTAACAGTTAAGCAGAAAAATGTTTACTTTGAATTGAATCATTTTCACCTATTTATCAGGGTACATGGGTAATAATTTTAATTAAGGATGATAATTCTTAATTAATTCATTGCTGTTGATACTTTAATCAATT